GCAAAGAAGTGCGAATGGGCAAAGACCCAAGTTTTGTATTTAGGCCACGTCTTAGACGGAGACGGCATCAAGCCAGAGGATAGTAAGATTGCAGCGATCAGGGATTGGCCTACGCCGCGTACGTTAACAGAGTTGCGGTCATTCTTAGGCCTAGCCAACTACTATAGGAAGTTCGTAAGGAACTTCTCCACTATCGCTGCGCCCCTTCGCAGATTGTTAAGGAAAGAGACCATCTGGAAGTGGGACAAGGACTGCACGTCTGCTATGAAGAAGTTAAAGCAAGCGCTGATAGAATACCCAGTCCTTAAGGTGGTCGACCCGTCCTTACCCTTTGTCGTCACTATGGACGCTAGTCAGTACGACATAGGTGTTGTTTTGCAGCAAGACGATGGCAATGGTTATAGGCCCGTAGAGTTCATGTCTGCTAGGATGCCTTCAGAGAAGGTTCGACATCGACCTATGAGAGGGAACTCTACGCTCTCAGGCAAGCGCTGAAACACTGGAAGCACTACTTGCTTGGGAGACATTTCAAAGTCTATTCTGACCACGAAATGTTATGATGGTTAAAGACGCAGGCCAAGATGACACCTAAGCTTACTAGGTGGGCCGCAGAAATAGACCAGTACGATTTTGAGCTCAAACCAGTCAAGGGTAAATATAATGTAGTTGCGGACGCTCTGAGTAAGAGAGCGGACTACTTTGGAACAATAGTTCACTATCTGGACATAGGGAGAGACCTGCAGCAAAAGGTCAAAGAAGCATACGCGCAGGACCCTATCTATAGTGACCTCCTTAAAAGAGTAAAGGAAGCCCCAGAGACTGAGCCAGATTACCGCAGTACTGATGGACTGCTATTTGAGAAGACTAACGTAGTTGACCGTTTGTGCTATTTGAGAAGACTAACGTAGTTGACCGTTTGTGCTATTTGAGAAGACTAACGTAGTTGACCGTTTGTGCATTCCCAGTACTGATCCTAGGGGAATGTCACGATACAGAGGGTCACTTTGGTTGGCAAAAGACTGTAGCCAACCTCATGCACGCGTATACCTGGCCGGGAATGAAGAACGACTGCATAGAGTATGTTCACAGTTGCAAAGTTTGCCAGAGGAATAAAACTACCACGCGTGCTCCACTAGGTCTTCTCAGACCCTTGCCTATTCCGGATCAGCCCGGAGATTCAGTGTCCATAGACTTCATGGACGCAAGCGTCAAGAGTAGGCATGGCAAGAGCCAAGTCATGGTGATAGTCGATAGATTTAGCAAGTATGTTGTTTTTATACCTTCACCTTTAGAGGCAGACTGAGTTAGTGATCCAAAAATTCTTTGACCATTGGGTCAGTGAGCACGGGGTCCCATTGTCCATAGTTAATGATAGAGACACCCGGTTCACAATTCAGAACTGGCAGGAGTTGATGAGAGTCTATGGCTGTAAGTTGTTGATGTCGTCTGGCCGTCACCCAGAGACCAACGGTCAGACCGAACAGATGAATAAGATCCTGCAACAAGTTCTAAGAATGTACATTAGGCCAGATCAAGTTAACTGGGATGAGATGCTCCCCAAGGTAGCCAGTGCCTGTAACAATAGTGTGCACTTGTCTACGTGCCGCACTCCCAACGAATTGCACAAGTCCTTTAGACCACACATACCGTTTGAAGGACTTAACCGGGATCAGATTCATAGGCTACCGCCTGGTACTAGGGAGTTTGCTATACAACACGAGAAGGAACTAGCTACTGTTGTAGAGAACCTCAGGAAGGCCCAACACAGGATGATAAAGCAAGCCAACAAGCATCGTCGCCCATCACAGTTCCAAGTAGGCGACTTATTGTGGGTCAAGGCTAAAGAGTTTGCTCCTGAGGAGAACATCTCGTAGAAGTTACTGCCCGCGTATAGAGGACCGTGGCCAGTTCTAGAAGTCAAGGGCGGAGAAGATGGGTCGTCCTACACCATCGAGATTCCAGTACACCTCCACACCTACCCAGTTTTCCATGCGTCAAAGTTGTTGCCATGCATCGTAAGCGGCCAGTTCCCATCTAGGCGATCCATGATCCCCCCAGACATGGACGGGACGAAAGATACGACATTGACGGCATTGTAGGTGAAGATGTGTTTAGAAAAGGAGGTAAAGGTCGTCCACAGAAACAGTACAAGGTTCGATTTGCATATCAGGAACCAGAAGACGACCGATGGTACACTAGAACTGAACTTCTAGAAACCGCTCCCGACATAGTCAAGACCTACGAAAGGGATAGAAAGGGTAAAGGTCCTGCCTTGGACTGAAATCTTCTCGGAGGACCTCAAATTTAGGTCGGCGGGAGTGAAACGGTATTCACCCGTTCGCAGTAGCAGATGCAGATCCTGGGGCTCGATCCCTCGTCCCCACCTGACCTGTGTACAGTGCCTGTGTTAACCCGTAGAGTTGAACCCGCAACCTGTTGGACCGCCAGTGGTAGGTAGGTCATCATAGGTTACAGGGTCTAGGGGATTCGAACTGTAGACCTGTCGGATAGGAGTCTAGAGAGTCCAGAGGTCTTAGCTGTAGACTTTCCAAAGGGTCAAAGTCGTAGCTGCTACTTACCTGAAAGGGCAGAGTCGTAGCTGCTACAGTACCGAAAGGCCAAGTAGATGCTTCTGGAAGTGGCCTTTCGGAGTCRGCCCACTGTAGGTCAAGGCAAGTGGGCAAGTGGTGGAAGTCCACCGTGCAGAGTCAGCAGTCCCAGTCCAGTCAGTCCGGTCCAGTCAAGC